TTCTTATGGTTTTCTATCGCTAACGGTACATTGTACTATTATTTTCACTACACTACAATAATAATCATGATTTCTATCAATGGTATAATATACTACCGTACCTAAACTCGTATTAGAAATCGTTTTTACGCTGTGAAAGTCTCTTTCTAGCATAAATGGATAAATAGTATTTTCACTATTCCATAAAAATGTTATATTTTAGAATTATTATCATGCAGTACTGTTTTAAACGCGTTTTAGACACTTTCGCATCGTAAAAACTATTTCTGGGATAATGTAATAGTTTTAATAGTACAGTATTCTCACTATTCGGAAATAATGCGGATGTATTTTATCATTACGATCGTGTAGTACTGTATTAAACCCGTATTACAGATTGGTTTCACGCTGTGAAAGTGTGTCTTTCTGGTATACTATAATAGTACCAACAGTACAGTATTCTCACTATTCTGTAATGATACAGATAGCATTTATAATTACTATCATGTACTACAGTATCAAACCCTTATTATTGTACGCGGTGAAAGTGTCTTTCTAGTACAGCAGAATTAAAAGTACAGTCCTCTCACTTTTTTGTTTTGATGCTGATGTACTTTACAATTACTATCACGTAGTACTGTATTAAACCCGTGTTTATTACATTAATTAATACATTTTATTTCTGGAATAAAATAATATAAATTGTTTTTACGATACAAAAGTGTCTCTTTCTGGGATAATTTAATAGTTTCAATAATACAGTATTCTCACCATTCTGTAATGATGCGGGTAATTTTATTGTTAACATGATGTAGTATACTGTACTTATACTTAAACAAGCATTAGAATATTTTCTGTGATAATGTAATAGTAATAATCGATGCAGATGTATTTTATAATTACTATCACGTACTACAGTACTAAACACGTACTGTATTAGAAATCTTTTTTTGCGCTGTGAAAGTGTCTTTCTATTGTAATATAATAGCATAAATCGTGTTTTCACTTTTACAAATATTTCTGCTCTGAGAAAGAGTGTTATTATAGGACTAATAATATAAGTATTTCCTCCATTATTTTTGGAAATAGTGGCAATATTTTTCATTATCCGTATAATGTTGCGCAATGCTAAAATCTGTATTAGAAATGGATTTTTACGGTGTGAAATGTTGTTTTCGGGGATTAATTGTATTACTATTTATTCACACTATTTTGAAGCGATACGGATATATTTTATAAATAGTTCATGTACTTAGACCCGTGTTAGAAATTGGCTTTAGGCCGTGACGTGTGTTTTTGCAGGACTAACGTTATTAATGGCGTCTGCGCTACACGGCGATAATTCTGGTGTCCTTCTCGTTAGCGCGGCGGAGCGC